TCGAGAACAGATATTCTCTCCGACGTATACGCACTCCACCCCGGGGCACAAACAAGTGTTCTTATTTGTACCTCGGGTGGGACAGGTACAGGAAGTATCAGCCGTAGAGGACATCTACGTCTCGGTAGGAGCAAGGCCGGCTTCGCCGTCTCTAGATGTTAGTGGACGGCGTTAAGGTTCGAGTGAAGTTCCCCGATATTGCAGAAGTCCACGGATAGCGTGGCAGGGTATCATGGTTTTATCGCTCTGTTTGCCCCGTGCAGTGTTAGTATAGAGCGGGATTTTTTCTGCATATCAATGATAGATAAGTTTTAATTCGGTAACATTCATTGTTATGCGGATGGCGGCACTGGTGATGCTCTATACACCGGCCGTGCCAATATTTCTCGGGAAAACGTCGCTGAGTACCGGAACAAACTTTTGTCCGAAGTCGAGTCTACTGAATAAAGTTTCGGATTGGGAGCGACTAAATCTAGTCCAGTTTAATCCTCAGAAGACATAAGTTTGCGCGTTTACCGCTCAAAAGAAGCCTTTTTGTCGCATCTCCTCAGTTTGAAGGCACTCCCCTTGTTGCCTCAGCCAGTATTTGAATCCTCGGCGTCGACATATCGTGTGACGTGCAGGTTCGTGGCCTCTAAAAAGCTTGACGTGTTCAGCAGCGCTCTGCTGAGCACACAGAATTTTATGCCAGCACACCGCCGACAAATTTACAAGGCGCAGGTTCGGCCTCACATGGAATACTGATCCCCTCTGGGCTGGGGATCCCCAATGCCACAGCGCAGAGCAGCTCGAATCGTCGACGCCCGAGGCTTTTTCGATCGGCTCGATTCACTGCCGCTGCGAAGAGATGTTGCATCCCTTTGCATTTTCTTTCGCATCTATCACGGGGAGTGCTCTGAGGCATTGTTTGGTGTAGTGTAGTTGTGTGAAGTAGAGGTTTACCTCTGCGTTTCGCTTGGTGAGTGCAGGTGGCCGGAGGTCCTTTTTACTGGAAATGAGGCATTCCATCTTGGTCCTCACGGGTGACAACGCATCTACATTTTGATTTGTAATGGAGGATAGATGTAGAAGTCTATGGGCCGCAGCAACCACTTACCATCAGGTGGACTGTGTGCTCGTTTGTCACCCTTATCCTATAAAAAAAAACGCACATCCCGGCAAAACTCCAGATACCATTCACACCATCTGGATGCTTGACAGTCCACCACTGTACGTTTCTCTAGGAGTTTTCTTCCGTGTACGATCTCTCTGTGGGATAGTGTGGCCACCCACGCCTAGCCGCCATGCGCTGCAATGCCGATATCGCCGAGTCCGTTGTTAGGGAGTAAACTAGCTCTAAATGAACCGCGCGCGTCGTTAAGCACGTGAATAGTGCTACCCACCGCTTTTCGTGCCGTCGTCCTATCGTAACTATCAAAGGCCCGAAATAGTCGACTCCGGTGTAAGTAAACGGTCGCGCAAACGCCCCTAACCGTTCGGGTGGTAGGTCTCCTGTTACCCGTGGCCGTCTTGCGTACTCTGCATCGCAGACATCTCCGCTGCACTTCTCGTACGGTCGATCGTAGTCGGAGGATATGAAATCTGGTGCGTAGGTCGTTGACCACCCTCTCTCTGTTGGCGTGGCTTGCTTCCTGATGCGTCTTCTCTACATGCAGCTTCAGGAATTGGTGGCGTCCATTCAGTAAGATGGGTCTCTTCATCTGGCCGTCCACGTCAGCTGCGTCGATTCTTCCCCTGGCTTGTAATATTCCATCTTCCAGTATGGGGTCGAGCTTCCTAAGTGCGCTGCCGGTGGCCAGGTTCTTCCCCCGCTGAAGGCGGGTGATGTCTTCAGCGAAGCTGTCGAGTTGGCTGCGTTCTATCCACATCCGCTCTGCCCTCTGGATGTGCTGCAATGTCAGTCCTTGTGCTCTTTTTCGTATGGCATCGATGAACTGCAGTACTCGTGCTGTGGCCCTGATCAATCTCTCGTAAGAAGAGAATCGTTCTATGTCTGGCAGGTATGGAGCGTCCTTGGTGTCGATCTGGTGCGCCACGATCTCCTCCAACTCTTCATCATCCTCTGCCTTCTCTTCCTTCTGGTGAGGCCATCTGTCTTCGTCCTCGTAAAGAAATGACGGTCCTGTAAACCATAGGTCGCTTTCTTCTTTGATCACGAAGTTCATGCGCGTTGCCTGATCTGCTATGTTCTCCGCAGTCGGTATCCACCTCCATTGCTCGGGTGATGTCTTTTCAGCTATTTCCCCTAACCGATGAGCCACGTATGGAGTGTAACGCGCCGTATCATTCTGTATCCAGTGGAGTGACGTAGTAGTCTGTCCAATATATGACCCTATCTGCTACCACTCTGTGTTCGTCTTACACGAATTCCGCGAGTCGCGCGCCTATCAAATTCGCCTGCAACTCTAGTCGCGGTATACTCTGCGCCTTAATCGGAGCGACTTTCGTCTTAGCCGCCACTAATCGTACCCTAACCGTTCCGTCGCTGTATCGTATACGCCAATATGCCGCGGATGCGTACGCACGTTCGCTTGCGTCGTTAAATACGTGAAGTTGACGCTCTACCACTCCCCCCGTAGGAGCATAGCACCTTGGCAGTCGCAGTCGTGACACCTCCTCGACGACTCGCAGCCACCTCTGGAACTCATCCGCTGCCTTCTCAGGTAGTTCGTCATCCCATCCGACCTTCTTCATACGCTATAGGTCTTGTAGCAGGATCTTGGCGGTGATGGTGAGGTAGCTGAGCAGTCCGAGCGGATCAAACACAGACATGACTGCGCTTAATACTTCCCTCTTGGTCGGTGGTCGCTGTAGCGCCTTTACTTTCTGCGGCACCTTATTCATCGATGTGTTGAAGGTTAGGGCGTCTTCGTCGGCCATCCATAACAACCCTAGGGTTCTGCCTGGGCTGTCTTGCCTTAAGTCTACTTCCTTAGGCTTGCGTGCCAGTAGTTCCTCCGGCTTGTCTTCCAATAGGGCTGCGTGATTAGAATTCCAGCCTGCCAAGGTGAAACCGGCCTTCTGGTGCACTTCCGTAACCTGCCTCGCCGTGTTTACCGCTTCCTCTACCGTTGCATAGCTGTTTAAATAGTCGTCCATATAATGACTACGTACGATAGCGTTAAGTGCCAACGGGTGTGTCTGCGTGTGCGCGCGCGTTATAATCTCTGACACTATGTGCGAGAAACGGCGAGCTTCTCGCGCCGAAAATCATTGATGTCATAACGTACTCCCGCGGCTATATCGCTCGTTTCCTCGCCAGAGAAACAATTGCGCGTGTTGATCGCGACGGTCGATTTTCACACGTAAGAACATTTCCCTAATATCCGCGAACACGGCTATCTCGTTTTCTCTAAACCTAAACAGTATGCCCGGTAAGTTCCGTAATAAGTCAGGGCCGTCGAGTAAATAGTGATTAAGACATCTACCGGATGCGCGCGCTGCCGCGTCGAACACTACTCTCATCTTCCCCGGCTTGTTCGGGTTCCGCACTGCGAAGTGTGGCAGGTACCAGCTCTTGGGGTCCTCTCTCTCCCCTTGCGTATCCTTTCGCCAGGAGGTTGTCTATCTGGGCTGTGTAGGCGTCCCGAAACTCCGGCGACTAGTCCATCTTCCTTTCAATCGTCCGTAGTCTTCGAGCTGCCATTTCATAGCTGGGTGGCATCCGCACGTTGTCGTCCTTCCATGGCAGTCCAACTTGGTATTGCTCGCCGACCTTCTTGACGGTGCGCTGGAATATGTCGACAGCGCGCTCCTCTTCCCGTCACGGCCTACTCTTTAGCGAGATACCTATAGAATCTATATCGTACTGCCGTTTGAGGAGTTCCGTTAACTCCTCGTCCTGACTGGCAAACGTTCGGATGTCCCTATGTGGCCGTCCGCTAGTGCTTGCTACGTGTAATACGGTCTCGCCGTCTTCCCTACACGTTAACCGCGGCACGGTTCCCTGAATTACCCACCCTAGTAACGTATGTGCAGCTATGGGCTGCCTTCGGCGTCCTATTCTCAAATTACAGGTGATTATTAAGTTCCAGTTGTCGGCGCCTAATAATAATCGCGGCTTCGCGTCGTCATAACATACCGCACTCGGTAAGCCGCGTAAGTGCTTCAACCGTAAGCACTCCCTACTCACAGACTGCGAGCCTATCTTCAAATCCGCTATTGTTCGCGCGCTTACATTATAAATCTCATTGCGCGTCTTGCCACGTATTCCTATATGTACTAACCTACTATTGGCCTCGCGTTGACTATTATTTACGCCTCTAATATTGAGCGGTTTTACCGGTCCTTCCGCTCCTAACTCGCGAGCTAAGTCGTCGTCGATTAACGATATGGTAGAGCCTTCGTCAAGTAGCGCATACGTATCAACTTCCTTACCACGCGGTCCGCGCACGGTAATGGGGCACACTTTTAATAACACAGACGCACTACTATTAACGTTCGACGCGACGAGTACGGTTTCATCCGGTTTTACCGACGCTTCAGGCGTGCGGGCGTGAAGGAAGGCGTGGTGGGGGGCGTTGCAGCCGTCGACGCCGCACTTCCTAGCCTTACAACGTAGGCGTCGGTGTTTGCTGCTTAAACACCTAAAGCACACCCCATCTTCCTTTACACACTTTCACCGGTCGTTCAAACCCATTTGCGCCAGCTTCCTACATTTGGCGATTGGGTGTTCACCCCCACAACACATACACGAGGCACTTCCGGTGTCCTCCTGGGCGGTGAAAGTCTTTACGTCGCGGACCCTATCCTCTACGCGGCGTGTTAACACTATCCTTTTCGACGGCGGTGCTTCTCGTCTTACGGGCGATTCCTTAGTCGGCGTTACGGACGTATAGGCGTGATTTAACGCACGGTCAGCCTCTCTCATCATAAACCGGGATAGTGTGACAATGTTCGGTTCGTCCGCACTTCCGTAGTGCTCCGCATAATCGCACCAACGTACAACGTAGTAAGTGAGGGCTAAGCTTACTCGTAACCTCCCTAGTTAGCATCGGATTTTATAAGTATCCTTTGCCGTCGACGTTCTGCATAATACAAACTATATTTTGCAACTTAATAGCGAACGAATTTAACTCCTGGGCGGTTTGATCCGGGAGCGGAAGGCGTTTCAAGTCATCTAACGCACGATCAATAATCACTTCCGGGCGGTCGAAACACTGCTCCAGTGTCCGCATAATGTCCGCTGGATCCTTCGCGGTAAACAGCAGCGCCAATATTACCTCTCGAGCCTCACCACGTAAACAGTTTCGTAATCTTGCCATATTTTCCGTATTGGTGAATCCATACAGACGCGTGGACTCCCTCATCGCGGCTTTAAACGATAACGCAAATAGGCAACTCCTGTATCTGCTTCGCGGCGACTGGTCTAAGTCTTATCATGCCTTCTAAGGCTTCCGCTAATCGTTCTATACCCCTATCTTTCCCTCGTGGGGTGAGCGACCTATGTACACCTACATCCTTGTAATACGGCGACGGTAATCTACGGTCCGCGTGGCGATCTATGTACACCTATATCCTTACACGGCGACGGTAATCTACGATTAGCGTGGCGATCTATGTATAGGCGATAGAGTGCGGCGTTGGACGCGCGACGGCGACGTAACCCGTACACGGCGATCCACCTGGTTCATTTCTACGGCGACTCCATTGTCCCTCTGTATCGTATCTACGCGGCGTGGTTGATCATTATTCGCAACCGACCTCACCTGGGCATGTTCAGCGTGGTCGTAACCGGTTTCCCTACTCGGCGGGGCCTGCTCTATCTCGATGCGGGGCGCGGGCTGAGACGGGCGGTAGGGCGGCTCCCCCCACACAGTCTCCACGTTCTCTAACCACCTATCAACGCGTACCCTATTTTCCACTAAATCGTCTTCGTTTAAACTATCCCTATCCGTTTCTTCTTGCAGTTGAGCGACGTCCCTTGCGTATTTCTTCTTGATGAGATCTTCTTCGATTTGCAATTGCTTCCTTCTAATTGCAGCTAGTTCCTCCGCGGTATTATACTCGATTTGTTTTAACTTTGCTATCGCGCTAGCTGTCGACCGGGCTGAACGGACTGAACGGACCGACGGGGCGCGGGGCGCGGGCCTATGTACAACGCCTGCTACAGGCGCGACGGTACGCACTATCGAACTAGTCTCTGTAACCGGAAGATCTTCTATAATCGCGGCGAGCGTCTCTGTACGCGGCGCGGATGTGCTAACCTTTCCCAAGCGATCGGTTGTGGACACGGACATAGCGGTGCGCGGCGGCGCCGGCGCGGTCGCGGGCATAGATGCGGGCGCGAACGGAGGCTGGGGCGCGGCGGAGGGCGCTTGTGCCAACGCGAGATAATCGGACGGGGACGCGGGTGCTTCCTCGAATATCCGCATTCCTACCGGCGTTTCGTCGTCATTCCGTGTCTTCTGGCTTCTTGTCTTCCTTATGACGTCACACGTTGCGGCTTCCGATCGTCTTCAAAAAGACGCACGTATTGGATGCCGTTCCCGCCGCAAGGGCGTTACTAGGTGACCGCAGTTTGGCACCGTTAGGGAGCAATCACCTGGCCGCGTAAACACGGTTAAGAAACAAGAAATTGTCTGGAAACAGACAATAGACGTATATGTAGACGTAGACGTAATAAGAAACGGGGAAGAAATTAGTACACCGACAATCTTCTCTCTTCGTCGACGAACTTCTTTCTCCCTTGAAGGTCTTTTATAATGATCTTCTTTCTTCTATAATTATCTTCTTTCTTCCGTAATTATCTTCTTTCTTCTGGCTTCTTATCCGGCGGTGATGGACCCAGGGGTGTCACTTCCACTATGGAAGGTATGGAGCACTCCATACCTCAAGTTTTTCAAGGTATGGAATTCCATAGCTGAAATTAGGAAATAAATCGCATATTACTACAAACCCCATATAAATAAATCGCAAGCCCTTAAACCTCAATACCCCACATCTTATAGTTCAATAAATAAGTTGAGTATATACACTGCAAACTCTTAAACCTTAATACCCCACGAGTAATGCGAACAAATTTGAAAATCGCGCCACCATTTTCCATACCTCAGATTTTTACAAAGTGACACGCCTGGATGGACCAAGAATAATAGGGACAGAAGTGGACTGTATTGACTGACTAACTGATGTTGTTTGAGGTAAACTACCTAGGGACTGCTTAAGAAAAAGATGGTACTGTAGACTATAATGTATTAAACTATTTACAAATGCGGCTTTCACTAATTAACTGTATACACAGAGGGGAGTCTTCAATGGAGTATTAATTCTTCTCTCTTGAGGTTTCTTCTGTTGCTGTTGTCTTAGAGTGCCGCTTCCGAAATGAACAGCTCACAGACCAAAACGCCCTTCTTATATCCCGCAAGAGAGTGTCTTGGTATGTGAGTAGCGTCGTGAGGTGATGCCGCGCGCTGATTGGTCGGCGACATCGCGTGATCTGCTGGCGGTGTGCGGGGTGCGCGGGGCGCAACGGGGTATGAAACGGCGACGGCTCCCCTCGCCGTCCGTAACAAACATTATTTTAATATTTATTCCTTTAAAAAAATTGGATATGACTTATGGAATCCAGATTGTGTAGAAATAGAATGTGTTATTTATTAGTTGATATATCTTAAGGACCTAATATTTACCCGCAAACACAATATGTATATAATATCTACAATTTACGCAAACAGTTTACATTTATGAAAATGAGGGCCGAGGCGGTGGAGGATCGGCATTTTTGGCTCGAGTTACCATCGGGTGGCACCTGCCCATACTTCGCCACTGACTGGCTCAGTAAAGCAGTGGGTAAAAATATGTGTAAATTATTTATTTATACATATTTTATCGCATCTCTAATCAGGTAGTCACTCGTTAAGTGAGACTGCTCTGTACAGTTCTCTTTTGTACTTACCGGTACGAGTCTGCTATTCGAAAACCTTTCTTTCTCTCATCGGTTTTCTGTTTTTCGTACTACCTATGTGGCCGGCCTGTTGCCACTTCAGCTTACTGATCCATAAATAAAACGAAATAACTGATATTAGCAAATTGTGTTTTATTCGTAGCTTCAAATTTTCTTAAATTAAAACATGTAACTTTCACATTAAAAGCACAAGCTTAATCATTATCACTTATAGGCATCAGTCAATAGATAAATTTTTAAAGGCGTAGAAGGAAGGTATCGATTGAATTATAGTATTAATAATTATAGGTATAACGTGGTTAGTTCTATAAGAGAAAGGCGTAACCAGTGGGACGTCAACACAGCCCCAGAATTTAAAAATTCACTTGACACAATGGATCCTACTTCATCCATTTGAAATAATTTCGTATTTTGGTCCCATATTGCATCCAGCTACGCCTCGAACGTTAGATGCTAGTAAGATGATTTTAGTAAACATTCTTAATAGTAAGATAAGAGAAATCAATGACTAGAATCATAGGTCGCTAATAATAAAGTTTGTTTTTGTAAGCAACTGCTGTAATTTAATTTAGCACTATAGTATAAGGTAAAGTAGAGAATAGTTCAATAGTTTTTTAAATTACTTAAATATTGACTAGGAGGTAAGAATAAACTCTGAACACAGATAGACAACCCTGCAGAAAACACGTAAATTGAGTATATAATCAAAGTCATTAAATATTTTAATATGTGTGATTGTGTCATAATTTGTTGTTTTGTGCTTTAATTTACACTGTATTCTTAACAATATATCTTTGCTATTCACTTAATACGGTGGGATAAAATTTAAGGTGTTTATAATTAAAACTGTATCTTGTTAGAATATATCATGCATAATAATTATCCTAAATATACATCGTAGTAAATTTAAAAATATTGTACTTTTATAATTGGATAATTGAAATAACAATAATAAATAAGACAATAATGAAGGAGAAATATGAAAATTTACTAATGTATACACATATTATATAAATCAATTTAACGTTTAATATTTTTATAATCACTGGGGCAAATTTGATACAAATATTTAATATTAGACTCTATTGTATTGTTTCATAAATAACTTGTGACTTTATAAATCGTAATAAACGAAGGCAGCAGTGGTATAGCATGGGGAATAAGGAGGGGGAAAGATGTCAGTAAATATCTAAAACAAAAACAGAAAATTAGCTGTTATTGATTAAAATATTACGAACACTTGGCATTGAAAGTTTCTGAAATAGAGATAATGTAATAAGTACTTATAAAAAATACTATACCTGTATTGTTTTATTAATTTCTTAATAATTTAAAAAGTATAGAAAACTTGCAAAAATTTCACCTTTTAAGATACTTCGATATTTGGGGTAAAGGGGTAGGGGCGGCGTTTTCTGCTTTAACGGCCCTGGACAGTACATACCATCCCATGCTATGCCACTAGAAGGCAATATCAAAAGTTATAATGCTTAATAAACACAAACTGCAAATTTACATTCCCATGCTACTGGTGCTAGGAAAGGTTAAAAAGAGTGTATAAAAAGTTGTTACAAAATTTTTAAGTAGATTTAACAACAACATACAAAAGCTACTTCGCGTTCATATACACTACGATCATTATACTTAAATTTTAACTATCACCAAGATAAAATGTTATTAGAAAACAAGAATAATCTCGGTTAAAGTAACACAAGTCACAAAAATTGCACTAACTAAAATTTGTACATTTGTATACATTAGAACAACAATTTGGAATGTTGTTGGATAATAATAATTTTCTTTTGTGCATTTTTTATTGTAATACTTTATAAATTATATAAGTGTTCCAAATAATTAGGACATGCAATAAAATAGTTATAAAGAGTAAATATAATAGTTATAGAATGTAGTTGTAATTTTCACTTTAGTAGGTAATTCACATTACTAGAGTGAAAGTTCTCGTATAACAGTTGAATTATTAATTTTATTTCGTTACAAATTAACATCAGCGCGTGCTTAACAACTATTGTCGATTATACCTGCGTGACAAGGGCTTACTTATAACGCGAAAAAACCATTATAAACTCAACCTTAGTCACGTCACAACTCACCACGCCAATGTAATTATAATAAATTATTTATTTGTAAGGTTTTTGTATTTCGTATGTATTTTACATAGTATGCAATTAAATTCCATAAATACATTGAAATGGGAAAATTTAATACTGTTTTTTTTTGGAAAACTACTTATCCTCAGATACATACAGCTCATACAAATCATTATCCATTAAGACATAATAAATTATCTGTGTGCGTTTGTTGGTAACAAGATAGAATACGTATAGAATAGAATAATTAGACTAGAATACAATAATTTTATATATATTTTTGATTTAAAATTGTAAAGTAAAGCGTTAGCCTCATTTAAAGTTTTTAAAGCTACAGTAGGTAATGTTTTAATTGTCGGGCTAAAGACATTTTTATTAATCCTAACAAAGTTTTTCGCTTTGTCTGCATAATATAACTCCAACATTTTAAATACATTTTCACGGCAATTTTATATTTTCTTTAGTGATAAAGCGTAGCTGTATTAAATATTAAAATGTAGTTCTAAAATTTTGTCCACATTCCTATGTAGGCTTCTTCTCTTGGTGAAATATAATAAAAGCAAACTCAACATAAAATCCAGAAATACTTAAAATACTCTTACATACAAACTTCACCAATGAATGTCGCTATGTAAGTAGATTATCGTTTAGTGCAAAACCTTCTTATTGTGTATATGAGAAGATAATATAAATTGTTAACAACTGTGCTTTGTAATAGTCAAACTTCAAGGACTTGGAAACTTAGTTTATACAATGGTTAAATATTTTAAAATTTATTTTTGGTTGTACTTTTTCACAACAAAGTGTAAATACGTATTTAATGTAAAATTATTTTTTCTTTATTAACTTAGACAAAAAACAACATTGTGTGTTCGACACACATTCTTAGTAATTTTTAGGAATTTCACAAACATCTAATATTTCTATAGAACTATAGGTAGATACTCTTCACAATATTACAAACTTTTTTTATCTTAACTTTTTGTTCATCGACTGAAGGTCTGCAAACGAGATTCACAAAATCTATGTTATTTCATTGGTTTGAATAACCTAATTATTTCATCAACTACTCTGTTATTAACCGCATGATGCCAGTGTAAGACAATATGTCACATTGTTTCCTCTCTCTCTCTGGTTTCGTAAGAGGCAGCAGTGGGAAACCCCAGAAAGATCATGGCTTCCGATATATGGAGGATTTGTTTACCCCAGACGTAAAATATATAGACCGGCGACGGGCAGCAGTCATAGGTGCCAGACGTCTGGTACCGCGATCACCTATCCGCCTGCCATTTAAAAGCGAGGCGCCTAAGGCAAATCCAACCAACGGGAGAGGACCATGTTCAGCATTGGAATAATTTTATTTGAATGATGATACATACATATAATCACGTCTCTTTCCCGTAGGGGTAGGCAGAGACCACTTCTTTCCACTTGCTATGATCCTTACATACTTGTTTCGCTTCGTCCACTTTCATTATTCCCTTCATACATGCGCTTCGGTTTAGGATACTCTTGACCTGGCCTTTGATGATGATGAAGTGGAATAACCTAATTATAAGTAAGCTCAGTAACGCAGGGGCTTAGTGTTTGGTTGCGGCGTTGCGGATTCGAATTCCGCACGGACGAATGTACAAACAGTTGTTGTATGGCCTACCAATAATTGTTCAATTCGACAAAGCGGTGTTCGGGAATTTGGGGGGTTACATTATATTGAGCTGAAACCAACCATTGTATTTTCTATCAATGTTGGTTCTAACTAAGATTATTGGTGGACCCTTAATTAAGTTGGGTGGTTTCACTAGACTTCAAAGAACTTAAATCACTGTCACAATTCAAGAGTATCTTGTGCAGAACTGGAAAATGTTACGAAGAAAAACTTCCTATACAGCTGTTTACGGTTTGGAGTGTGGTATGAGACCATTTCTGACGTCCACAAAGTTTTACATCTCATACATAAATGAAATTATTATCAGGCTCAGTAAGAACTAGTGTTGGAGGTTCAACTGACTATTAATATTTAAGACAGGTAACAAAAACCTTAGTTTGTTCATTATGTTATAATTAAAGGAATAGTTTTAAAATTGGGTTATTAAAATTTAAACACCATGGGCACAGGCTCAGGCCCAGGGTCATTGATGACCTTTGATATTGAATATGGCACTGGCAATTAGATGCAACATGTTACCTTAAAGGTTTGCACATTGCACAAAATCTTTTTTAAGGCATATTGTCAATGCCTTACATGTTCAATACAATTATGGCTAAAATATGCTGTGTTGCCTAACTGTGTTGCTAACTGTGTTGCTAACTGTGTTGCCTCGCCATTGTAGCAACAATGAAATGTTTGTAAAAGCTGATTGCTTATCAGCAATAATGCGACAAAGTTGCATTACTGATGTGTTGTGTGTGAGACAGTTTCAGTAGCCTTTTAAGTATTTACTTATGCAGAGTTGAATTTAAGCCTGTAAACAAAATGTTGAAATACGAATTTAAACCTAATAAGAGTTAATTCATAATTTATTAATTACAACCTATGTAAAGTCCACTGCTGAACACAAGCCTCCCCCATAGATTACATTGGGGGAATATTTGTCGTATTTGTTATACTGGACTGGCAGGTTAGTAACCGCAGATATTGAAATGGTATCAAGAAGAAGATTAAATATATATTTGTAATTATACATAGTATATTTTTCTGTTAGTATCAGTTATCAGTGGAGTCAGTCACAGTGAATTATTTATTATATAGTGAATTAATTATCATATAAAATAAATTATTAAAAAAAACTAGAAGCCTCTAGCAGAAAGTTGGAGAATCCCGAAAACTGAGATCATACTTTGTGGCATTATTAGAGCAACATGGGCCTCATAGCGATGTAATGTTGTGTTTGAAAAGAAAATATATTTTATTATTAATTAATATCATTTTATAATTGATGGTGATGTTAAATACATATGCAAAAAAAACTCTAGATTTAATGAAATTCCTTAAAATTACTAAGCTAGAAAAGTCAGAAATATTCTTTGATATAATAATATGTTTATTTCTTAATTTAAAATAAATATAACAAAATAAAGCAGTCAACTTATATACCTAGAAACATTTCATCAAAATAAAAAATGTTTAAAAGTAACTATTCAAAATAAAGATTATTAAAACATAATCAACAAACTCGCAAACCTAAGCAGGTTATGCTAAAATAATTTGACTATCTAATGCCGCAGCGTTAATATTACTTTTCTACTTTATAAAATCGCTGTACAAAATCTGTCAAATTGAAAACTTGTCCAGGCCCAGAACCGAGATCCATGTTGATGTATTCATCCAAGTTGTGAGTAGATACTGTAAATAATGGCAAAGTGTAAGGGCAAAACATTAAAAAGAGTAAATGTTATTAGACCAATACACATTTTTATATTAATTTTCTAAATACTTAACCTTTATAACCACCAACAAAGTCATTTTGTAAGAGAAGTTTATCCATAACTAATGAAAAATCAGTGATGGTTTTACATCCTATACTAAGCAAGCTATACAAATACAGATACATCTAGATTCTAGACACTATATCTAACCCAATGTTGTAGTTGGCCTTTTCAGGCACAAGCTGGGTGATAAGAACAGAAACTACCCTCACAATAATAATGTCTATTACCAGTCTGTGAAATTTGGGTTTAGAATTTTCAATGGATATTCCAGTGGTGATTTATCAGCCACCAGGTCTTTGTTCATTAATAAGCAAGCTGCATCATAAGCAGGTCAGGGTGATTTAAATTTGAAAAAGAAATTGTTACATATTCCAGTTAACCAGTGTCTTTTGAATTATTAAAATTAATATATTTTATAATATAGAATATTATACATACCACTTGTACATATAGCTGGATATGGAGGTGGAGGCTTAATCCATGAGCCATCAGGTCTTTTCATGTGGCGCCGATCAGATGCAAAGTGTTGCAAGAATTGCTTAGCAGAGACTACACGAAAGAATCTATACAAAACATGTTTCTGTTATATTTGTTTGGGAGTATTAAAATTTAAGTTAATTTAACCTCTTAAGACCATATGTGAACCTTTAATTAATTCAAATTAAGACCAGTCGTGACATCTTTTGACAACTGCTAGTCCTTGCATGAGTAGTATACTATACTATAAGTTATAGAGTTATATGTCCATACACGACTTCGCGGAGAAAGTTTGTCAAGTTATTTTTTCATTTCAATTTGTCCGTTGTAATCTTTTTCAAAAGACATCGACTAGCAATCTTTGAAGTTCAATAAAAAAATCTCCACTTTACATAGGCTGCACTAAAAGTATCGGGAATGGAATATTTCCACTGTTCCTGTCATATTAAAATCTTTTTAATTGAAAACTCCTTGGTTTTAAAAATCGAATACCATTTATTTATTTAAAAAAAGATTCTCGGTCTTGTCACAAGGTTTTGTCAAACTTGTTTAGTCGTTGAGAAAATGGAATTGACTCGAGAAAATTCAAGAGCGATGATTTATTATGACTTTCGAAGCTGTTTAACACAAAAACAGTGTGTTGACCGGATGATTTCTGCATTTGGTGATGAAGCCCCATCCAAAACCACAATTTATCGCTGGTTTGCTGAATTTCAACGTGGACGTGTCAAGCTCAGTGATGATCCCCGTCAAGGTCGTCCAAAAACTGCAGTCACCCAAGAAAACTTTGATGCTGTGCGTAAGCTGATTGAGGAAGATCGACATGTGACATACCGCGAAATTCAGGCAACTTTAGACATTGGCATGAGTCAAATACAAATAATCTTGCATGAACAATTAGGTGTAAAAAAGTTGTTTTCCCGATGGATACCGCATTCGCTCTGTGAAGAGCAAAAAGCGGCTCGCGTAACTTGGTGCGTCAGAACTCTCGAAAGATTCCACGCAGGATCCTCAAATGCTGTATACAACATCGTATTAGGTGACGAATCCTGGATATACGCGTACGAACCCGAAACAAAAAACCAGTCACGAGTTTGGGTGTTCGAAAATGAGTTAATGCCAACAAAATGTTACGACTATTCCTCTTGAGGGACAAAGAACGGTTAATGCAGAATGGTATGCTCGCATTTGTTTGCCACAGGTCGTTTCTGAACTCCGTAAAGAGAACTGCAACCGCCGCATCATCCTCCATCACGACAATGCGAGTTCTCACACCGCACACAGAACAAAAGAGTTTTTAGAGCAAGAAAACATAGAATTATTAGACCATCCGCCGTACAGCCCCGATCTAAGCCCTAATGATTTCTATACTTTCCCTAAAATAAAGAATAAATTGCGTGGACAGAGATTTTCATCACCTGAAGAAGCTGTGGACGCCTACAAAACGGCCATTTTGGAGACCCCAACTTCCGAATGGAATGGTTGCTTCAATGATTGGTTCCATCGTATGGAAAAATGTGTCAAATTTCGCGGAGAATACTTCGAAAAGCAATATATACATTTTTAAATCCGCCCTCGTAGATCGATATTTTGTACAGTACAGTATATTAGAGAATTTTGTATCTGAGGTACACATATGTGTACCTCAAGATTACTTTTGTATGATATACAACCGTTTTTCAGCTTGAACAAGGATGACCAGGTGATTGAGGATTTTCTGAATGACAGCGATCTGGATTTTTCTGGAGACGATGATGATGAAGAGTACTCCACTTTCCTGGCGTGCAACTGATGATGAGCACCCTCAAATATCCACAAGGAAAGCTCTACTGAACTAGAGATCTTTGTGTACCCATAGTTAGGGATACAATCAGTCGTAATCGCTTGTTTGAACTCAGGAACTATCTGCACTTAGTGGACGTAAACCAGCCGAATGCTAATGACAAGCTGTGAAAAATCAGGCCACTGATAGACCCCATTTTGAAAAAATACCATAGTTTGCCACGTTCTAAACATATGTTAATTTATGAGCAAATGATACCATTCTCTGGACGACATGAATACCGTCAATAATGCCTGCTAAGCCAAATGCACTAGGCCTGAAGAACTTTGTGCTGGCTGCCCGAGACGGCTTGGTATTGGATTTTTAAATCTATGTTGGCAAAGATACATTACCAAATGGTGTAATGAAAAATCTAGGACTAGGAGCGGGTATCGTCGAAAAACTATGTCGCACAATTATCGATAGTTGTGTTTTGTACACAGATAGATTTTTTACAAGTCTGAAGCTGGCAGAACTTTTGCTAGAAAAAGATTTTCTCTAACTAGAACTGCAATGTCAAATAGAATTGGACCAGTAGCGAAGAAACTGAAGAACGAAAAGACGTTAGAAGTAGGACAGTGGGATGAAAAAGTAAGAGATAATAAAAATGTGTGTGTCGTAAAATGGATTGACACAAAGGACGTAACAATGTTGTCTACATGTTCAGGAAGGGCTCCTGCAGATACCTGCAAATGGTGGTGAAAAAAAAAAGAACAGCGGAAGATAGACGTAGCCCGGCCAGAAGCAGTCAGAAATTACAACACCTGCATAATTGGAATAAATTTGTGCGACAGACTAATTGCTTACTACCGAAGTGCAATGTGAAAAAGAAAGTGGACAGTACGAACTTTTTGCCATTTTCTGGATTCGGTTGTCGTCAATTGCTGGATAATATACACCCGCTGTTGCACCGAAGAAAATGTCCAACACAAAGACAAGTTGGGCTTACTTCAATACAGACTGAATCTAGCCAAAGCAATGATGAAGTATAGTGGTGGAAGGGTTGAACTCAAGTTCATGCTTCCTGGCTCCAGATTTTGTCCCATCGCCAGCCCTTTGACAAGATCCAGCTCGACTGCTACCAGTGAAGGACTACAGTGTACCGATGACCTACCGACAAAAAAACATCGGCCGGTTGTACCCCAATCACAACCTGAAATTAGGCTGGACAATGTGGATCATCTGCCGCGATTTGTGAACAGCAAGGCCGCCTCAAAATGCCGTCATCCGACGTGCTCCTCACGCTGCCGCACCATGTGTGTGAAATGCAATATGTATTCGCTAGTTGGTCGTACCTATGGTATGACCAACTAGCAGGTATACGAAAGGTCATTTACCTTAAAAACGACTGTGAAGTTGACAATCTATTATCTATTTCTTACCATCTTGTGTATTTGTCATAATGTCTCGTTTTTCCGGCAAAAACATGTCAGGGTCAAGACGGGTTCACCAACATTCGGAATGCGCTCGTGGTGATACAAGTTATTTGTTAAATTTTTTGTTAATTTTTGCTGTTTATTTAATTATTGTTATTTTGTTTTGTTGATAATTGTTTTTTATTAAGAGTGGTTAATGATGGAGCCACAACCAAGTATGTCGAGAGATAAATCAACAGATTTTACTTCTCTGAAAAAGAAACATCCAAAGGTATGTGTAGGAATAGGATATATATGAATGTTGTTTAGTAGTTTTAATTAAAACTTCTTGGTTCGGAGTGTACTTTAAAGTTATCTTAAAGTTATTTAAAAAACAGCAACTGTAATAGTAAAACTTTTCTTAATTTATTAAAGATGCATGTAAGTAAAGTATGTATATCATTTTATTTTTTAATTTAATTGAATAAAAAAATATGGTTATTAATACCTACAAATATGTTAAAGAAACTTCAAACTGTAAAGGGGTACCTAGCTGGAAACAATACTACATTTAAATTTGAAAAAGTTAAGGCATTATTAAGTGACGGTATGGCAAAATTCACACCTGATCAGTGGAAGAAATGTGTGGAGCATGTTCAAAAAGAAGAAGATAAGTTTTTCAAACTTGATTTTATTGTAGATGACATGATGGATAAATTTATTAAATAAGTTACAGACTTTGATTCTGACTCTACAAACTCAGAAGAATCGCTTCTGACTGAATAAACCATGATTTCTTCAAAAAATATTTTTATTCCTATTTCTATAAACATAACATAACATATCATCAGTACTGTATCCCCTAAGGGGTAGGCAGAGATATAAACACCCACATTTTGCCTGATATATTTACATCCCTATGTAACAGGCAGGCAAGCCTGTTACCATACACCGGGCACACAGTTGTTAGGCAAGCGATATTCAGAAACATTATTAGATAATAGAATCAGCCATTACTGTCCATTATATTAAAGTAGAAAAAAATTACTTTGCGTACATCTGCTCGATAAATAAATTTTTTGAGAGGATGTATGCAAAGTAATTTTTTGTCAACTTTAAGAAACATTATTATTATTCTCGTTATTTAATTTAAATCTACATTATACATTAATTCAAATTATAACAAAATTTATTAAAAGGCTATTTTTTTGGTTTGCTAGACATTTTTTAAAACTATATTGTCTACTTAAATATATAATCTAACTATCAAAAAGTTACACACCCCTGCTATTCCTAATAACCTTCCATTGGTTTTGTTTACATTTGGTATAGCTTCTCATTGGCCGTACTATATGTGTGCTCAAAAATAATTGTTTTGAAAATTAGCACACAAATAAAAACTTTGGCCCACATTAAGACCAAAGGTACACATAATTATGTGCACCATGTTTATCTTACTTGTGTAAAAATTTTTTTTTTGGAAAACAATTGTGTGTCTTATTTTATACCCCTACAACTATAATAAACCATAAAAAACAATCACATTTGGTTCAAGTTCAGGTCTTAAGAGGATAAATAAATAAAAATTGAGAACTTACCTATGAAAGTCAGATTTCAGTACTTGATCAGTGCGAAATGTTTCCGTCACATATTTATGAAAGAATGTTGGAAATGGGAGCTCTGAATCCAGATCATAGACAAGGCAAGTCTTAGAATCCCATGAGTATAGAAAAATAACATGATAATCCTGGAATTAAAAGTGAAAACAAAATTTATTGTAGTTATGAAATAATGCTAATCCACTATTAAGGGGCTACTCCATGCGAACGACCTTGAGCATTTGGTGTACCGCGCCGACTCGCTACAATATAATATCACGTAAGAAATATGTAAGGCGCCACCTACTGTAAGAACGTAGTATTTTTTCAACATCAATAAACTATTTTATGGAAATACACACAGCGTACAACGATAAATGTATCTCAAATTTATTATTCGGTATATTAGTTGCATTATATTAGAGTTATGTATTCTCATATAATATTATCTAATTATGAAATTTTATAATTAATTATATATTAAAAATGAAGCATTGAAAATTGTGAGTTTAAAAGATACCTACTCACTATAGGTAAATAGATAGATAGCTCGCCTTTTGTACAAATATTTGGTGCAATAAAGAATATAAAATGAGAATATAGAATGAGAGTCGTGGAGGCAGTTTACAAACATAAATTGCACAAGGACAAACATCCAGACCCGGAACAATTATTTGTAGGCCATACAAATACTTGTTCCGTGCGGGATTCGAACCCGCGGCCCCCAGTGCAGCAACTGATTGCTAAGCCAGTGCGCCACGGAGCCGTCGCCGGTTTATAGCTAAAGTGACCATACGTCCCGTTTTGAACGGGACTGTCCCTTTTCTCAGTCACCTGTCCCATTGTCCCCAAACAAAGCTCCGGGACACAAAATTGTCCCGTAACTCGTTGGATGGAAGTATTCAAAGTCAACAATCTTCAACATAATTTTTTTAATCGAATATATTTTATGTCTCCCTGGTACAAATGCTCCAGTAGAAAGGATATTTGTTTTATTTTGAACAAATTGTGGACGTCTGAAAGAAACACTTACGGTTCCAGTTCTAAAGGCGATGTTGTTAACAAAGGTAACAATAAAAAAAACTTAAGCAGAATTTTATTCTTATTTAAAATTATCACCAACTTTATTAAAGCAAATTTAATCCACTGACAAATGTAATTAATAACTAAAAAAAATATGTTGCCTTTAATAATTACCGTCTATATCGAATATAATTTTATATTGAACACTAATTGTGTAAAGTTATAGTTTTTAAAGTGTAAATAAACCCATAAAAAAATTTTAGTTTATAGTAAAAAGTAGGTATATTAATACCTACTTAGATACTTTTTACCGAATTAAGGTAGAAGCCCCTAATACCAGTCATGCCCCTAATTGCAGTCTTTTCGCCTTTTTACTCCATAAATAAGATTTCTAGTAGTCTTAACTACAAATATTTTCATCTAAAAAATTCTTTGTACCTAGAGGAAACTATATTTATTTAAATATTACCTCGCAGTTTTAAACCTAACAGTGTTAAAATCAAAACAGGTACGCAACGAAAAACGATCATTTTCCTAATTATTTGACAAGTTATGATCCCGGTAAAATTATGCTTACTTTACATTATCTCATATATATAGGCTTTTTGATTTGTATGAATATGACTATAGACATAGTAATGCAGTTATTTTTGTTTGAATTTACAACTTATTTATTTTCTTTTAGTGGAAATTAATCAATCAATCAATCAATTTCGTTTATTCAGTTTAGGCACATAAAGAGCACATATGAACGTCAAAATTTTACAATCATGTCAAGAAACAATTAATATAATATTAAATAAAGTAAATAAATCATTTGAAAATGATTCTTTCGCTGGTTCGGTAAGTTGGTTTAAAATTACTATTAAATAAACTCAGTGAACAGTTTTATATAACGTTTCTTTCTTTTTTTTAAACAATGTGTTTTTTTTTTTTAACTGATTTATATTGTGCGAGCAAGCAAAAAGATTAGGTAGACCATGGATTTTTATCTTTGAGGTATTCGTCTACTTTATAATATCCTTTTTTCATTAAACACTTTTTTACTTCTATTTTAAACTTATTTAGTGGCATGTCAACCAGGTCCTGAGGAATTTTATTAAACATTTTTATACTGTTACCTACAAACGAATTACCAACCTTATGAAGTCTGAGTTTTGGCACTACAAGTTTATTTTTATTTCTCGTATTATAATTGTGTACGTCAGAGTTTTTTTTGAAGAGATCTAGGTTCTTGCGTACATATAAGACATTATCGTAAATGTATTGGCAAGCAACTGTTAAAATATTAATTTCTTTAAATAGTTCTCTCAGCGAGTCGCGGGGTCTGAGGCTATATATAGCTCGTATCGCTCGTTTCTGTAATATGAAAATAGTCTCAATATCGGCAGCTGAGCCCCACAGCATCAGACCATACGACATAACGCTATGAAAGTAGCTAAAATAAACTAATCGTGCCGTTTTCTCATCAGTCAGTGACCTTATTTTTCTAACCGCATAGGCAGCTGAGCTAAGTCTTCCTGCCAAGGCTGAGATATGAGAACCCCATTGCAGTTTACTATCTAGAGTCATTCCAAGAAAAACTGTGGTATCGACTATTTGAACAGATTCATCGTTCATTGTAATATGAGTATCTATCTGTCTTACATTAGGCATAGCAAACTTTACACATTTCGTTTTCTTCGCATTGAGCAGCAAGTTGTTACTTGTGAACCAATGCACTATTTTAGAAAGGGTGTTATTCACATCGTCAAGTAATTCTTTATGTCTATCAGTTTTAAAAATTAATGATGTGTCATCAGCAAATAACACTATTTCACAAAGATTTTTAGTGAAGTGAGGAAGATCATTTACATATATCAAGAATAAAAGGGGTCCTAATATCGAGCCCTGGGGTACTCCCATGACTAATGGGGCGCCAGATGAGTTAGTGTCATTAATATTGACTTTTTGTACTCTACCAGTGAGGTAAGATTTAAGTAAGCTAAGTGAGCTGTTAGAAACACCGTAATAACCTAATTTTAATAACAAAGTCTCATGATCAACACAATCAAAAGCTTTTGATAGATCACAAAAAATACCGATGGCATCCCGCTTCTTGTCCCATGCATCAAATATATGTTTAACGAGTTCAACTCCTGCATCCGTCGTGTTTCTGCCTTTAGTGAAACCGAACTGTTTCTCATGAAGTAACTTATTATAAGTGAAATGTGAAAGCAGTTGATTAAATATAATTTTTTCAAAAATTTTGCTGAGTGCTGGGAGTATAGAGATGGGCCGAAAATTTGATGGATCACTTTTGTCCCCTGCTTTGAATAATGGAATGATTTTACTGTACTTCATGAGTGTGGGAAACTGTTTATCATCGATACATTGGTTAAATATGAATGCAAGATAAGGGGCAATAGCGGGCATTACTGATTTTATTATATTGGTTGAAATGCCCCAAAGATCCTCAGTCTTTTTTATATTTAGTTGCTTAAAAGTTTTAAGTACGGTTGCGGTGTCAATATACTGAAAATCAAAGTTAACACCACATTTATCAACGCAAGATTCAAGAAGAGAAGCAGCTTCGGTTTTTGAAGATTTTAGTTTACTAGTAGTGGTAATTGGAGCATTTGTGAAAAAAGATTCAAATGCAATGGCCACTTCAGCATCAGTATTGATGTGTTTATCATCTATTTCTAATTCGAAGGATCGATCACGTGACCTTGTTTTACAGGTTTCTTTGTTGATAACATTCCATGTTGCCTTAATTTTGTTATCAGATTTTTGTATTTTGGCCCGGATATAATTAGATTTGGCCATTGAACAGACTTTCTTAAACATTTTTGGATGGGACTGTAATTAGATAATATAAGAAATGTATGGAGTGCATAATGTCAGCCGCCCGGCTGTTATTTGGTTTGACGTACCTAATAAGATGTACCTAATTTCAGCCACGTAATATAATTCAGAGCTGCCATAAACTGGAATAAATACCATTAATTAGATAATAACTTATTTTATAGCTAAGGGAGTTATGATCAATTCGTCTGTTTTATAATTGGTTTTAGATTTTAAAGTTTAGCAAAAGATGTACTAGCTTTTCTCTCTGACATTCGACGTATAGAACATCTTATGTACTCAATTATTTTTTTTGAAAAAGAAGAAAAAACAAGCAATGAATAAAAACAAAAACGGGCCAAAAACTCATAACTGACTTTTTGACAAGACCCGGGATTCGAAACCGAGACCTCATGATCAGCACTCGCACTACTACAACCACTAGACCAACGAGGCGGTACTATACCTAATAAGATATTGTGGTTGGGTGATAATATTGAATTAGCCTTTTATAGTGTAAATTATAATATTTGTCGAAATTTTAATTATGGATTCAAACCTTACATGCTAATGGTGCTTCATTTTTTTATTTGCATTTACTTCAAAGAAAATACACGCAAAAAGCTTCATCGCGCAGTAAAAAACACAACAAATATATGTATAAGTAATACGAAAAATTAAACCCAAAACAAACAAATAATACTACCTATAAATAACCTAATAAGTAATATTATTATCGACTAATATGACGTGAGTGTATGTGCTGGTCGACGCTCTAACGACACGGGCTTCGCGTCGAAGAGCTCATGGCTCACTGACTTTAGCAAGCCCGTGAGCAGTGAATATGCCCAGATTTTAAAATAAATTCTTAATAAAATCAAATTTTGGTCTTTTGAAAAAAAATTTACTATAGAAATGTTCCTTAATAAATTGCCTATCCATTGGTGTAAATCGCAAAATAAAATAATACTTACTTTACGAGGAGATGCATGTTATCAATAATAATTTCACATTTATGTGGTTTCGTTGTAAGGAGATTATATTAATATTTATTCCTTTAAAAAAAAATTGGATATAGCTTTTATGGAATCAAGATTATGTAGAAATATAATGTGTTTTTTATTTGTTGATATATCTTTTAAATAAAAAGTAGATAGCTCCTAAAAACCGCCCAAATAAAGACTAGCGCGACATTTTGCTCAACCTGCGCCTTAACAAGAGTATCATTTTTAAAACATTATCAGTACATAACTACAATAAATGTATTGTTGTAGTCGTGAACAATTAAGTTGAACTAACTTAACTGTATACAACAAAAATTATATTTTAGTCTTATATAGTTAAGTTAAACGAATAAATAAGAAATACCCACTGCTTGACCAACTCAATGAGACAAATGGATAAAATGTGGCCTCCCTAACTGTCTCAGTCTTATCAATAAACATGAAACCACATTCAGGTTCAGGTTTGAATGCAAGTCATGTCGTATTTGACAATCATTTTATTAGCTCAGTTTACTAGATTCTTGTAAGTGTACAGTATAGTATTAAATACTTCAAGATATTTTTATGTAGGTAATTAAGCATCCTTATTGAATAGTATAGAATTCCAAAATCGTTGAAAAAGTTGATCAATTTTCATGCATCTTTAACTATACCTGATAAGTTAAGAAGGTACACCGATTAATTAAGAACTAATTGAACACTTAATTTTACAATGAAAAAATACTTTGATGTTTTAATAAATAATTTGTTAATTTCAATAAAACAGATGTATTTTATTTGTAATTCCAAAACACATTAATAGATAACATAAATCATACTGAAAAAATAACTAACGATCTTATTATATATTGCAGAATATAATATTTAGTACACACCCATATTACAAGGCGATCCTCTTCACGCCCTGCCCTTTGTTTCCACAAAGGCACCGTACGACAGGGGTTCGATATAAAAACCACAAAACACCTATCTAACTCTCCAGGAACTCTCAATGAAACATCTTGACACAGTTTCCATACGTTCTCTTCGCTATATACACGAAAAATAAACAAAGGAATATAAAAATTTGGTTAGCGGGCTTCTCAGTTTTAAATAAGTGTATTATTTATGAGGTAATTAATGTAAGGGATACTTACCAATAACAAGATACATATGAACATTCCGCTTGCTTAGGAAATAGTGGCTTAAGGGTTCTATCATTATTTTTATTATTTTCATTATTACTTTTAAGCACTTGAGCATTGACCGACATTTTGACAGTTTGCTAAAAAAATCCAAAACCAAAACTCGAAAGTCAAAGAAGCTCATAGACTATAATATTTGGTTAGTTTAGTTATTGAAATCCTTTATTTATGGTTTTGTTCTGTCCATAGCCTTAGAATATACTGGCGTATAGACACCCCCCTTCCCAGCCTATGAATTTGGAGTATACATATACATTGGATTTCATTTATTACGGCCTTGGTTGTACGACCATTTACCTATAGGGACGTTAAATCTAAGTCCCTTGACTTTAAAGCATATTTTAGTACAAAATTCATATGGCTATAGCGACTTTGGATGTAACGCCGAGTCCGGGTGTAGAGACTGTTTTTAATTAATCATTTGTAACGAATTCCTAGAAATCCCATGCAGATATTGCGACCGGAGTTGGCCGCCAAAGACACAAAGATTTCTTTCCTTCACAAACATTTCTTATCTTTTGTTTACATTCACACAGATGGTCAGCAATAAGAAACTATCACGTATACAATAATATTTTGCATAGAAAAGGTTTGTTTTATCTCAAAAAGTGAATCTATTGTGAATTATAAAACGTAGTGATAATGTACTCTGTTGTTAGATAGGAAATTAAATGGATAACAATATTCATATTTTAGCACATATTTTATTTTTGCTAAAATTGTTTTAGTTTGCAATGGTATTGTATACTCAACCTTCTGTATCAGCCAAAAATCTAATCCAATGTAATCAATATTATTTAAGATGAATAATTTAATCTGATAATCTAATCTATTATTATGAATAATGTAATCAATGAACTATTAATAATATTTGACATTTGTATGCCCATCGGAGAATTTTCAACAGACTATTCCACTTGTGATCTTGGAATTACATCAGGATAGCGTTAACTGTTAAAAATAATAAAAGTGTGAAAGCGGATGTTCAACTTGCTCTCTTGCTTACGCAGTTTAATTATTATCAGTAATAAGACAACGTAACGCACTATACATTCAGTATAGTGAAATTACAGTTCGACCACACCGTAACACGTCTCTGCCACAATCACACACCAGTGTAACGGGAGGTACGTAATTACATGATAACACCAAAATATGTAAACCAACAGCAGCACTACTTATCTCAATGTAACACAGGGCAGCCTCTCAGCAACACTAATCCTCCTTGCCTGCACTAGAAGAATTACAACAACGAACAGAACAACGACACTATCTTAGCACTAGTAGAATGACCACACTCGTTGAATGACTTGAGCGGAATCTCTCGCGCACGGCACCTACAGTGAACTTTATACTACAGACACAAGAGGGAGTTTCTCGATATACCCTCCCTTCTACCTCGATCCAACCGGGTATTTTATAGACGCTCCGACACGGCCATCCTGACGTACGACCGTCCTCGGGCGTGTATTTTCATGCATTCCTGTAACAAACACTATTAGTCCACCAATTCATCCGCTCGTCCGTCCTAACACGAGCAGGTACATATTCTTAGTTCGCTAAACTAATTGTTAGATAGCGCTGCTTGTTGCGCTATGGCGCCATCAATCCATGACACGGCCATTCCTGACTAGCACCCGTTTTCGGTTGCAGTGCCTGTAGACAAATATGCTCAGAGATTAATCTAGCTCGGCTATTCTGCCAACAGAAACAAGGTCGATTCCAAATGGTACTTTACTTCTCCTAAGTCTAAGTACAATAGTCAACTGTCATAATTGACAATGCCTTATTATTAAGGCTTCTTAAACAGTGCTTCCTGCACAACATGATTTATTGTGAAAGGTCCGATCAACAAGTTCCAACACAGTAATTTTAACAATTTTTTACTCTTTACTATTCATAAGCAATGCATATTCAACTCGTGAAACTTTCATTGAAATCTGTGCACCAACACAGACCAGAATCGCACCAACGATTCTTTACATATCCGCCGTCACATATGCCAGAATCGCACCAACGATTCTCCACATATCCACCGCCAAATATGCTACAACACATCTGTCGCCACATATGCCAGAATCGCACCAACGATTCCCTAAATATCTGCCGCCAAATATGCACCAACTCAGACAGAAATCGCACCAACGATTTCCTACAGACCCATCGCCACATGTTACTCATGAGGTGCGGTCTAAAGTTTTGAGTATGAGTATACAAGCATTCTTAATCAAATTTGGTCTCACTACCACTGTCATCAACTATGACATCTAACTCTCGAGGAACTTGGTGATCGGGGATCTTCCTCACATGGTCATGGGGGTATTTGTGGGGTACTTTGCACACTAACATGACCACTTCCGGTTGAATTTACGATATTATTTAAACTTTTGCCTCAGCACCATCTTTGATGAGAGGGTAATTCGGCCCAAAATCATAATAAAATGGGTACGACTCACCAGTATTCATTAGCATACCGCTAGGATTGCTCACATAGCAAACGTCAACACGACGCTCACTACTCGCCTCTGCGGCAGGCATAAGGCAATCGCACGTGGCTATTAAAACAAACCAGCACACGCCATACTTAGCTGCCATGAAGCAAGCTTACGTTGTCAAAACAACAGCACAGGGCGTGCCGCACTCGCACTGCAAGCCGTCGCACCGCACCAGCGACAGCGAAACGCTGCGTCGCATCACGCACTCGAAGCGTCAACGGGAGCAGCATGAGCACCTGAGGCTTCACAGGCATCGTCGGGGTTGTAGTCATCATGATCTGCGTGAAAAACAAATTGTTAACTATCAGGCCAACATACACAGTTGCCTATCCTCTCATCCATCACGCATACGAGTCCCTCAAACAGAAATACGCTTTCATACCGTGGACTATAAGAAAGCACTTCGCTTTCACAAGTATGCATACATCTCCATACGAAGTATCTCACACATACTCGTACTTGCGAGATCCCACGTTAACCACGTGAACCAAGTTAAAAACGTGAACCAGGACAGCGCCTGCCAGGACGGAGCTTGATGCATGTTCAGAGAACACGACTTCCGCGCATACAGAATATAACCCTTCTGCGCACACGACTTCCGAGGAACCACCATTTATAGCATACGCACGCTCCGGGATGGCGCCTGCGTATTTGCGCATACGTATCTGCCGAAACCAGGCCATGCTACAACTGGACCTGGCTGTCCGTTCCGACTAGGCAAGGCACAAACTCGCCTTACGCTCGCGCACATGTAATCAAATCACACGCACTACTGTAACACATAAAAGAAAACATTAAAAGATTCAGTAGGAACTTTTTTTTTCAAAAAAATGCAGCACTACTCTCGAGAAACCATTCGCCTTTCCATGGCACCATATACTGAGCTGCAGCTACACGACAACCTCTGGTATGGTTCGATCCTCATGTAAACTTAAATACTCTCTTCAATGTTAGAACTAATTTGCTCTACTTAGCTTTCATCAGTTATACTTTGGTTTTCCGGCATTTTTCGCAACCGATTAAAAATGTAAACACTTATTCTTACAAAATATTTTTTAAGACAATGTTAGGAATAGATTTGCTTTCCTCACGTATCAAATGGTGATCGGTAGCAGCGGCAAATAACGAGGTAGCGGCGTCATAAGCCGACAGCATATTTCCACTCAAGAGCGAGCGCCACAGCACCACGCCTTCCACTAAACTCTCAACATCAAATCCCAATTTTGTCGACTACGTAATACTCTGAGTAAACTGTAACACTTATCAACACATTAGAACACTAATATACTACTTAGTATTTTTAAGTCGTAGCACGTTAAAGTAAACATGTTCTTTTTTTCGGTACATCGTTTAAACGTTTTTAACTTTAAAATTTGCCCATGTAAATCACATCTCGTGTATCAAATTATAACATAACTTGCGCAAGTTAAAATTCCACTGAATGCAAACTATAACTCATTTAGAATGCCTCCAACATTTCTTTCGACATTTTTATGTTAAGGAATAATAAATGTACTTGCGGGTACCTTATTATCAATTGAATGTTAATTGAACAAAAAGATTTAACATTTGGCTTAAAACATTTCACTTTAAACTTTTACTCTACACTTTAATGGTATGTCAGTGTCGTAAATAGGACAGCAAATTTCATTTCGTCATTTAATAAAAACAAAGATATCAACGCGAAGTCTTTCACAAAAGTAATAACTATCACACTATTCGAAGGTTATATGTGGACGATAACAGGGACTTTATCCCACTTCTGATATCGGAAATGACAACAGGAGATCCCACTTCTGATGTCGGAGAATTTTCAACAGACTATTCCACTTGTGATCTTGGAATTACATCAGGATAGCGTTAACTGTTAAAAATAATAAAAGTGTGAAAGCGGATGTTCAACTTGCTCTCTTGCTTACGCAGTTTAATTATTATCAGTAATAAGACAACGTAACGCACTATACATTCAGTATAGTGAAATTACAGTTCGACCACACCGTAACACGTCTCTGCCACAATCACACACCAGTGTAACGGGAGGTACGTAATTACATGATAACACCAAAATATGTAAACCAACAGCAGCACTACTTATCTCAATGTAACACAGGGCAGCCTCTCAGCAACACTAATCCTCCTTGCCTGCACTAGAAGAATTACAACAACGAACAGAACAACGACACTATCTTAGCACTAGTAGAATGACCACTATATAATGTACTCTGTGATGACCACACTCGTTGAATGACTTGAGCGGAATCTCTCGCGCACGGCACCTACAGTGAACTTTATACTGCAGACACAAGAGGGAGTTTCTCGATATACCCTCCCTTCTACCTCGATCCAACCGGGTATTTTATAGACGCTCCGACATATTATTATGACATGTGTCTGAATAAGGCGTAAATATTTACATATTCGTAACTAATTTTAACGGCAGGACCATAAATTATCAACTATATAAAATAGCAATAAAACTAAATATACATATTTGTTGCAAAGATCTCCATGTTGAAAGAAGAGTTAAGATTATAAATCTAAATGAGGACACAAAATGCCCTCGCATCCTAAAGACGCAAAGATGACAATTAGTGCACCTCAACATCGTAGATGCAATTATCATAAGGTCCGTAGTAATTAGCAGTAAGTCAATAAGTAGGCGTGATCGAGTCCGTATATTAATAAAAGCATAGGTCGTCAGCATAAGCAGGAAAAAGTGCAACGGTAAAGAAAGCGGGTATCAGCACAAGTGAAAATGTGATATTAACAAGCAAAAATTAATTATTATCGACTAACAATAATAATTGAAAATAAAAATTAATTTGATTGATTAATTGATTGATTTTAATAGAAAAATGTATTGTTTGATACTTTATGCGTATGTATGTACTTACTCGTACAAAGAAACGCAGATGTTATTAGAAAAGACTGGAAATGTAAATATTAATCGTTGAATTCCTTTTTTTTCTAAATAATATTTTAACGCAAGTTATACAAAATAACGATTTATCACAAAAAACATCAAAATTCATAAATAAGATTATTTTTCATATTTTTACCTTTTTTGTACAAAGTGGGGCACGATCTGACATTTGTTCTTTTTTATTTGTTGTATATATTATTTCATTCGTTTTTTCACGATACAGTAATAAAAATAATATAAAACAATAAACAATAACTGAATGAAATTTAATAAAAAATTGTCTTGTGCCTTAACCCTTACTTAATACATACATGAGTGCTTAAAACGTAACTTAATTTTTAATATTGCATTATGATTTTTTTTAGATACAGTAATAAATATATAAAATATCAATTAAATCGTGAAGCATCTGATTAATAAATTCAAATTCATATATTAAATACAAAATATTAAAAACATAACTTTTTTATAATGGTTAAAAAAAATTAAAGAAATCTTTAAAAGAAATGACAAAAAATGCGCTGATTCGATGTTACCTTAAATTTTCTTCTTTGTTCCTTTTGGCTCAATTTTCATATTCTTCTGGACGAAGCTTGCAAAAGTATAATCGCTTCTTTCTTTTTTTTTTAATAAATCTGCCGTTTCTTGAATTTTGGTAATTAATTTTTTATTTAAAAAAAAACACTTTTTATTTTCCACATTTTTTCTTAGTTTCCTTCATAGTATACATTTACATTATATTACTTCATATACATTATACTTTTTAACTTTTCAGTCAGCTTCTGTAAAATAATTATTGTGGCCTCTTCTTGTATTCGTATTAATTATTTATTTTCGTCACATTCGGTATTGCGTCCATTCCCTTATAATATGATTTCTTTAAACTGTCAATCCTCTTAACAACTGTTCATTATTTAATTTAGTTTTCTTATAATATTTTTTCTTTTTTAAGTAGTAGGTCCCGGCGGTACACGTGCATTGTCGCAGCGCATCGCATGGCAGGGTCGCCATGTGATATAGGAAATATGTCAATGAAAAGGGGCGTGTTGATACTTCTATAACGTTAATTAGACTGATCCTTATTCTACCTTAACACTAATATATGTTGTCGTGGGGGCTATACTACACTCTAAAAAATTACAAAATATCTAGGAGCTATTTCTTGCGTGCCGACTTATGCCGAGCTGTCATTCATATTCGGTTACAGAGTCATGAGATTTGGTATCCTCTTCTATCTTGCATTTATGCCATATGAAATTTTCTTCTCCCTTGCACACTATGTTGGTCGTTATTACGATTTATCTATTACTTCATGGTTACAACAACAAGGTTATAAAAAAAAACCTTGTCAGTTGTCATTACATTTTAATATCTCTCTGCTAGTATTAAAGGATTACATAAAAATTATATTTTTGATTTTTACTGAAACTTCTCCGATCTTTTTTAAAATACAGCAATAACTTTGTTATAGCACATTAAATTTCGCCTCTTTACTACAATAATCCCGTAAATTAATAATACTGAACCACATTGTTAGCGTATTTTGAGCAATTTTTATTTTCACATTTTGCTTGCACAAAATTATTTAACTCAACGCTAACATCAAGATCAGATTCTATAAAAAATTAACGGTCATATTTTATCTATTACTTTAATATCCCAACGCGTTCCTCAGTTATACGACAAAAACAGTAAATCATTTTTCCTGTAAAAATTAAGATTTTCGATTACCGGCTTATTGCTCGGAGGCGTCGAATTGAATAAAACAGTTATATCTACTGCTACGTACTACGAACTAGTCAAGTGCTATTCTTCATTGTAGAATATAGGTACTCGTTTCAGAGCATCATTGATGCCAATACGTACAACAGTGAAAGTATCAAAATTGCGTATCACCGTGTAGTAAATTATTACGTTGTAGTAACTTCTTTATAAAAATACAAAATCATGTAAATATTAACCCATACATAGATATTTAAATATATAGATTCATTGTCTAATTTTAAATGCGATACTTTGATACGATTTATTGTGATATAGAGTAAGAGTGGTTATTATTCATAAACTTAGGTATGCCAGTACTTGGCTGAATCAAATAATGCGCGCTAACCATCTCTCTGCTCATCGAATGTTGGAAGGTTCGTTGAAAGGTTGGATGATTATAATGTAGAATCGGTATTTAATAGGGTTGTAGCCTTGTACTCGTTTTTAGTTTTTTTATATACGGGAAAAAACGGTAAACGTGGCTATCAAGGAGGTTAATAAGTATAAATATATTTTTAACCTCCTTGGTGACTAATTGTAAACCTAATATCATCTGTGCTCGTATGTCACTTTCTATTATTTATGATAAAGTAATAGAGTAGAGCTATCACCGTACTTTATCTATGATCAGCCAGCTGGTCGAGGATCGAGGCGAGAAGTCGAGGCTTTGTTTAAAGCCAGCTCTTCTCTTTTAGTTGCTTCTAAAGTTCTTTTCATTTTGGCAAGAAGGAGGGCGGTGCGTTGTCCTAGGTTTCGGCCGGACTAGCGTATCGTCCAGTCCAGACTTTTGCATTATAATAATTAGAAACGCAATTTGTTTTTCTACCATTGGTGACATCGAGAACCTAAGCCATTATGACCCGTGAGTGTACATTACTGTTTGTTTAATAATCCAAGTGTTATAATTCAAAATCTTAATTTTCGCCATGTTAAATAAATCTATTTTGTCGTCGACTTTATCATTTTTAATGCATTTTCTTAGAACATTCTAGATTCTTAGAATTAATGGTGTATAGGAATATGATAACAAGAGCAAGACTGACATAACGTATAAATGACGCCTACAATATTATGTAAACATTAAAACTTATTAAGGTTTACTGACTGTTGGTTTTATATATAAATTCATTATTTTTAAAATGTGCGCAAACATGGGATACATATAGTAAATAATAAAAAAAAAATTGCGGATAATTGATATGTAGAGTAAGCAATGTTTAGTTTCATCAAATTTTAGTTTATTTACATCTGGGTTAATCTTAACATTAATATTAATTGTAAGAATTCTATAATATTAATTATTATGTGCTTTTTCAAGGTGACTGTATGATTCAATATTAGTTATAGAAATATTACATTTTCAGGCGGAAATCAGAGGGAATTGGCTCGCGCCAAACATCAAAAGAAACAGATGGAGATGCAAAAGAAGAAAACAGCTAGTGAAAAAACTGGGTTGTCTCTCTCTGAAAGAAAACATAGGTTATAAAGCTTAAATTATTTTTAAAATCACTCGCAAAAGTAACCAGCATTTTTACGTTACATTAATGGTATATTTTAATTAATTTTAACATTATTTTATCCATGCTAGCTAAGTGCTCACTGTGAATTTCACAATATGTGAAATAAATATTTCAAAGACATGTGAAGCTTACCAACACGCCTTGTAAGTAATTAAAAAAGTAAATAAAAAAAAATGTAATTACAGCCCCTAAGAATTTTTGGTAATTAATAATATTTTAATTAATTGCCATATGGTGGCCATGTGAGAGAGTCCATCGTCCCACTATGTTCCACGGTAAGTGGTCCTAAAGGAGAGTCTGTGATGTTAGAGGCAACTGGGAAGTGCAAGAATAATCTAAAGTGTTCCGAAAGATGGCAGTATAACAATCTTATTTATGTTAGATGTTAAATACTCAGATTGGTGACGAGAGGCTATGTCAAATATTCAAGAAGTTTAGCAGTGTCATCGTCAATCCACTTGCCAAGCATGACAATTCGGAGAAATCTTTCCAACTATGGGTGAAGTCTATGTCCACCCAAGGATTAGGAGGAAAATGAAGAGGAAAAATTTGTATTAAGTGTGTAACAAAAATATCTATAATTTTAATTTTTTTATCATCTTTTATGGATTAAGTGATTCAATAGTGGTACAAATAAATATGAGTATTACATTCTTAACTTTAAATCAATTTATCAAGATTGAAGTTAGAATATAAACTACCTGACTAAAACAATTAGGCGCATGACAGCTAAAGGTGGGTACTGACTGGTGTTATGGGGCCTATTGTACCTTACGCAGTGAGTATGATACATTACACCGCTAAATGATATTAAAATCCATGTAACACGCTCATTTCAAACTTTGCTCACACATGCTTTAGATTAGTTGCCACTCGTAGTCAAGATGTTGGATGATGAAGTTGTACAGGGATCTATGATGAAATACAGTTTTATCTTTGTTCCACTTCATCTTTTTAACAACAAATAATCACAACTAATAAACTAAAGTCCCGAAGTACCTAGAATCAACACTTGTGCCATGTGCACTCGTGACGATTCTGCATCTTACTGACTGAAGCGCGTAACACTTAAAGGATTAGCCAAAAAACCGACAGCAGGTTGGAGCACTTGCAGCGAGGCGACAAGCCGCTCATTGCTCGTTGCAAGCACCTTGTTTCCCCGTACTGACTGTACAAACACTCGCTGTGTAACATGTTACATTACACCCCGTAACGTCAGACAGTACGCACCTCAAGACATAGAACTTAGAACTAGGGAGGGAACACAAGAACAGTGATTATGTCACTAGGGAAAGCGTGGGATAGAAGCAGGGTGCGGGTGCTGGAACCTGATTCTTGTCATGTACCTAATTGTTTTGGCCAAGTTGTACATCACTAATGCCTGGTTACTATTTTCAAACAACAGTTATTGGTAGCAAATGCTATTCATTGCCCTGTATAAAAAGTAATAAGATGATTCAGTGTTGCAACTTATTAACGTCATGCATTATGATTATTTGTAAGTTAGTCTCTAAAGTCCTCATGAAATGCATTCACACATACAGGTGTCATATTTTTAAAATTGTCATCCATTTTGGTAGCTAATATGTCATAATGTACTAACACCAGATCTGAACAGTGATATGCTATTTAGATCTGATTTAACATAGAAATTCACTTGTCCACTTACTGGATAAACATTATTTTTTTATCAAACAACTAAACAAATATACTGTGGATAAATATGTGCATAAATAATACTATAATTTTTTTGGTTAAAATATAGCCGAGATCACTCCTGGTAATGCTTTCAGTCTGTTTGTGAAGTTTCATCACACACAGTTCAGCCTTTCTGCATTAGCTTGGACAGGCAGACAGACAGACAAAAAATTTAAGATGATTATTCATGTCTTAAAGGCATGCGAATAACCTCTAGAGTTCAAGATGAGGCACTTGTTTCAATATTGGACATTAATTTTACTTATATGTATAGTTGAAGTCATAGAGAATGATAATTGAATAGGTTATTTATGAGGTTAAACTGAGACTCAGTTTAAAGGTAATCTCATAGATTGACATTTTTCATACTTGATATTTATTGTTTACACTAAACAAAGACAAACATTGTCCTGTGCATATTTTATTATGATTTGATGGTAAATTTGATCAAATCGCCATGAGTGTGAGAAAATATGTGTTCTCTACTTTTTGCTTACACTAAACAAAGACAAACATTGTTCTTTGCATATTTTGTTATGATTTGATGGTAAAATTGATCAAATCGCCATGAGTGTGAGAAAATATGTGTTATTTACTTTTCTGCCGACTTCCAAAAAGGATGGTACTTAATTCGACTGTATGTTTTTTATGTGTTACCTCATAACTTTTTACTGGGTGAACCGATTTCGATGATTCTTTTTTTATTTGAAAGCTGATACTTCTCATGTGGTCCCATATGAATTTAATCAAGGTCAGGCCAATAGTTTTTGAGTTATTCTTAATGACTTTATTGAAGTCGGCTGTACAAAATGTTTAATTTTAAACTATTATAAATTGATAGTTATTTTCCACAATCTGGTTGATAATTAAAATAAATCCATACTTTAATAAAACATTCGATTGTACCAAAACAATGATTAACGCAAGGGTTTCTTGAAAAATCAATAATCAGAAAATCAAGCAAATTAAAAAACATATTTTTACAAGATCAAGATGATGGCAACTTGATAGGCAAGACAACGGTTTATAATCACTAGATATATGAATTTTTGACAAAGTGAATACCATCTCTGATTATTGAGACCTCTCTAAGTAGCAAAATAAAGTTTAGAAATGAACAATCTCAGAACAGTTTCATTATCACGATGGCTTTTAATTTTCTTTACATTACGATTCCCTTTATTACAGGGATGCTGAATTAATGCGAGAGAAGCAACGAAGAAAAGAAGAACAAAGTGCACAAGGTAAACAGAAACAAGCAGTACATTAAGAAGTTTGTTCAAGATGCAAACATTTTTCGACTGCTGAATGTTATGAACAATTATTTGATAATTGAGTTGCTAGGAGTTTGAATTATTCAAGTGATACCTAAGCAATTGTTAAAGATAAGATTTCATTTAAAACTTGGTTTGCTCTAACATCTGTTTAAATAAATTATCCAATAACTACTCTGTTTTCTTTGTTATATTTGCATATCTAAGATGTCTATAATGTAAAACCAGTCGTGTAAAGGTGAATACATTATCTGATCTGTCACATAAAAGAAAAATATAAATGTTATTAAGTCACAATATCATACATAGCATTTATGAGTCTTGATTTGACTTAATAGATTTGTATGTATATTACTACTCAACTATCCATTTTTGTATAATAAAGACTTGAAAATACCAAATAAAGTTTTATTTTTCTACATTATGCACAATGCAATTCAACCAACATTGTAGGTGACAGCTTCCCTATGTGACAAATGACAACAATACCAATGGTCCACACAGTGGCCGGGTAGCGTGTTGACATCCAGGGCGGTTTTCTATCAAGCACCCGCCATAATAAAATGCTAAACTTGCTTACAGGACCTTATTTTGCTAAAATATTCTATTATATTATCAAAATTTACATTCTTGTCCTTTTTGATAGATAAAATTTAAATATTGTTTAGTCGCGCTTGGCTCATTGTGAACCGTAAGATTTTATTAACTTAAGTTTTCAAACGGTTCTTCCACATGAATCTCCAAACACACAAATACAGTTAAAAAAAATCTTAGCGCTAGATTCGGAATAGACTCCGAATAGCCCTATTTCATGATGACTGAGAAGCTCCAATTAAGTCTATTGAACCGCTTCTTAGAAAGAAATGATGGCGGCTTCCAAGTGTCTAATTATGTCTTCTGCAGAAAATTCATCGTAGATTTTTGGCAAATTTGGAAACATTACACGAACATCTTCCTCTGGTGACGTTAGCAGAGGGTTAGGCTGAACAACATTAAATGTTACGAGAATATTATCCTTTAGTCTAGGTCTTTGTAAAATCTGTCAAGACATTCTAATATAGCTCTCTGCAGCTGCTCTAGCAATGTTAGTCCAGCATCTCTGGCCATACCTTTTGGCAAACGTTTCCAAAATCTCCTCCTTCCTCTTTTTCCTTTCATCGAAATGTCCAAGTCGTGAAGTGTTTGAATACGTTTGGTTTGAATAAAAACTTTTAGGGACTGATTTTTATCACACACGTTTCCAGTGATAGTCCAGATGTTTGTATATACTTTTGCGTCTTATTGACTTCACACCAAAAAGAAAGTTAGCATAAAAATCTGAAGTCACACAAAGCTGGTAAGTAAGTAGATGCTGCTTCTCTTGTATCGACGTTTTCTCTGCGTATACAAGTTTCTCAGCATTATTCTGCAGCGGTTTAACAGCGTCATAATGAGCACTCCAGCTTGTCTCTGATAGTCTTTTGACGGATACGCCTACACTTTTTTTTGAAATTTTCCATCGATGTGTGGATGATGAAAAGAATGTGTAAACTCTTTCTACTATTCCGAAAAAAGTTAAACTTGAATTAACGCTCCCAAATGAGTGCACACCATATATATTTAGCGAATGGTTAGCACTAGGCGTAAACAACGTTTTAGGATTACGTTCTTTGATTCTGGCTTGTACGCCACCATGAACTCCTGCCATTGTTGCAGCTTTATCATATTCTTGAGCCGTTACCTACCTACTTCGATCTTGTTAGTTACTCGACCAAGCGCTAACCTGAACTCATTTATTTAGAAAATTAATTTATGTTCAAAAGTAAATAAAAATAAATTTACGATACAAAATACAATACAATACAAACACTCGCGCCTGTCACCCAGAGGGATAGGCAGAGACTACGGACTTCCATTTGGCGCGATCCTGACACCTCTCTCGCCTCCTTTACATCCATATATCTACGCATATACGCTAGTCGTTTAAGGGTACTCCTAATCTGGCCCATTTTTAATGTATCGCCAATTTGGTCGATAAACCTTCGTCTAGGGCGCCCCTTCCCGACCCTGCCGTTTACGATACCTTAAGATAGTAAGTAGGTAGCTATTTATTTATTGGTATATCTTTGCGGGGTAATTCTTCTGTAAGAGACTGTATGAGTGAGTTGTCGTTGTCACCCCTTGCTGCTTGCCCCCCCCCCCCCTTTACGCCGCCACTGGGTCCACATAACCCACACTATTACACTTGTGAATCTAAATACCTACTTTAAAAAAAATAAAAAAGGTTAAGTAGAATATTAGAAAAGGTTTGAGGCATTGACTTATAATAATGTATTACTTTGGTATGAGGTAAATATTCCTTCAGTATTAGTCGGTTAACAAGACATTTCTCCAGAACCCACTTTACACCTTAATAATTGAAGAAACTAATGCAATAAACAGAAAAACAACCTTGACATTTATTGTCGAGGCCAGTTGTGTAATGTTCCAACAAGGCAACTAAATTGACAAATGCGCGCTCATGGTTTAACAGTATTACAATATTATCAATTATGAGAATAGTTTTAAAAGTAAATAGGTAAATATAAAACTAAAATTTTCTCAATTTATCATTTAACATTGAAGTACGTGAGTACATGTTACCAATTAATTATTTATGCTGTGACATTACTTCAATGATTTTTAATTTTTGTCTGAACTTATGTATCATCATCACTACAGCCCTTCACAAGTATACCTACTGCTGAACACAGTAATGTCACGCAACACCGTCCTGTGCCATCTGCATCAATCGATTATCCTGCATATCTTACCATGTCGTCATTCCAATTAAGTACCTACCTTTTCTTTATAGGATAGGGTGACAAACGAGCACACAGTCCACCTGATGGTAAGTGGTTGCTGTGGCCCATAGACATCTACATTTATCCTCATTTGCGAATCAAAATGCAGATGCGTTGTCACCCGTGAGGACTAAGATAGGATGCCTCTTTTCCAGTAAAAAGGGTCTCCGGTTCTCTACACACCATACGAAACACAGCAGCATGAAGCTGCTATTTGACGCTGGTATTCTGTGAGAGCGTGGTCCTTCCCCGGTCGAGCCGACCCATTCGTGCTACAACTATACTACTAATATAGCTGCAGCATGGCTCTACCACGTTAAAATATTGTAATTAATTTTACATTGTCTGTTGGTGGTGTATTGTGTACTTATTTGTAGGAGTACCTATCATAGATTACTGTATATATACTGGGTACATGTCTCTCATCATCTCGTGTGTTCCATTGGTTTGTAATACTGATAGTATTATTTGCGAAAGCGGCCCTTTGGTTTTTACAGTTTTGCCTATCTTAGGGCTCGTCATCTGTAAGACCACGATGGTGAGAACTACAACACCCTTTTCTCCCACGATCATCACATTACAAGGATTCTAGTAAGTGTAAATACATGAGATCGGCTAAAAACGGTTTTCAAAATGGCGACTACTTTATTCCCTACTAGCAATAACTACCTAGTACCTAACCCTTATTATTATACAACACAATTATAGTTTATTCAGTTTCATTTAGTTTAATTTTCTAGTTAATTAAACAATCGCGCCTTATTTGATCATCCTAGTATAAAAAAGCTTTTCAACTTAAGGAAACGAAATCTTTTCAATTTGATGAATAATTACTAGTGACAAACCTAACGCTCCAAAGGAGCGTAAGTTTCAAAAAAAGGGCTTAGTTGAGGTAATGCTCTACCTTATCTATTTACTGTTTAAACTCTTGAAAAGTGAGAGGTTTTATCGCTGGTGGTAGTGAAATTTCACCATCTTTATCGGACTCTCTCTCTTCAACTTTCTTTCAGCTGCAAATCAATGACCTGTTTATGCCCGGTATCTATAGGTACGCAGATGATACCACAGCTGAGGAGAGATATCAGCGGAGTGCTCGGACCAGTTTGGATCAAATGTAGTCCGAAAGGGTAGCCGTGGTTGAGCGTGTGAATCTCTCATTGCAGGCAGTCTCCGTATGAAGGAAAGCCGGTCTTATGAGATTCAACGCCTCCAAAACACAAGCATCTTTGGTATCGACAAAAAATAGCTACCTCACTTTGGCTCCTTTCCCAAATGTATGATTGGAATGCACCGACCGCTTTTAGTTTTTATGCGCAAGTCTGATGCTGCAAAATACTGAAGTGGTTTCTTAGTGGCATCAGTATGGCGCCTGTGTTCGTGATTGGTATAAGATTGTTTTTACAATCTTACCAGTCACGAACACAGGCGCAAGGTAGTCGGCCTTGACAGGTCATTTCGAAATGTGCGTAGGAATTGCATGAATAAATCCATCGTGTTTTTCATCATCGGACCACCAGACGCTCGGCGAGTCTCCCTCCCTTTTGTTGTTGACAAACCACGTATTCGAACCAGAAGGTTTGCTTCGTAGTTTATAAAGCGTATTTTTTATAGGATTGGGTGACAAACGAGCACACAGTCCACCTGATGGTAAGTGGTTGCTGTGACCCATAGTCATCCACATCTATCCTCAATAAAAAATCAAAATACAGATGCGTTGTCACCCGTGAGGACTAAGATGGAATGCCTCTTTTCCAGTAAAAAGGGTCTCCGGTTCTCTACACTCACCATACGAAACACAACAGTGTTATTTTACGCTGATATTCTGTAGGAGCGTGGTTCCGGTCCCCGGTCGAGCCGACCCATTCGTGCTACAACTATACTACTAATATAGTAGCAACATAGCTCTACCGCGTATATATATATACGTGGTTGCCGTGTAGTGGCGGTTAAGAATATCCACTACCCCATATCTTCCCGTGGGTGTCGTAAAAGGCGACAAAGGGAGACAGGCAAGATATGGGCAGCAGCATCTTTCTGATAACAGCAAAAGTACAATAAAAAAAAACTGTGGTTGCCAACCCGCTCGCCAAGCGTGGCAACTATGGCAAATACCCCCCAATGATTAGAGCAACAAAGAGACGGCCCCAGTCCCCGGCGGCCCCGCTATTCCTGGC